TGAAATAAAAAAATTAATTTACATGAAACAGGTTTCATGAAGGTGAAACTGGGTCATGTTGTAATTGATTCATGAGTAATATAAAATCATTTCATGGTGCATGTTTCAGTGATGGTGTAGTTGATCCGTTTAGTAGAAAAAACGGAACATGGCACAGCTACATAATTTATTTGGTTTATCATGAAATAATTGCATGATGAAATGGGTACATGATGAATCTGCTTCGRGATCTTGAAGATTGTAATCTGCTCCAGAATCTTGAAGATTGTAAGGAGTAAAGGAAAAAATGCATCAAATCATGAGTGAAATAAAAAAAATTAATTTTCATGAAGGTGAAACTGGTTCATGCGTAATTGAACAATGAGTGGTGAACTGTTTTCATGGTGAAACCCGTTTCAGTAATGGTGTAGGTGATCCATTCAGTAGATGAAATGAAAAATGAAACGGGTGCATAATGTAGGCAGTTTGTCATGAAATAATTGCAAGATGAAAAATAAATTAGTTTCATTAATAATAATAAATGTTAACGTAAAAATGTTAACGTAAAAATAATAAATTACTTTACAAAAAATAGATTAGTTTCATTAATAATATGATATACATGATTTGGTTTCCTTGAATAAATGAATATTTGGTTTTACCCTTTTGCTCTTATCGGTATTATAAAATGTATTTTTAATTTTTTTTATTTTTAATTTCCTTAATTAATCTTGATTAATCTTAACCATTGATCAAGAAAATGGAAGGATGAGATTGGTTTACACGATTTATACAAATAGAGACGGTTTTTATTTGATCGCTTTTCTCTCTCTCTCTCTCTCTATATATATATATATATATATATATAATAACGTTTTTGCTCTTTGTGGATTAAAAAAAAAGGAAAAGACAAAAACATAATTTAATATGAGAAAAAGTGGAAAAATGGTAAAAGGACAATTTTACGGTCAACTAAAGAGAGGTTGATGAACAAACATTTGGTGTAGGACCGTAGTCATAAGAAATTGAAAAGCACAAATACCATATCCATAATATTTTGAGTTTGAGTTTAATTACGTTACTAATAATTTTCGATATAGCACATGAACTAAATTCATAAATTCCCTCTTAAAATTAACTAATGATCATATACCGCACAAATGTTGTTGGTAGGGGTGCTCATATGTTGGGTTGATCGGGTTGAAAACATTTGAACAAACCAACGTAATGCTTGCGATTTGAAAAATCTTAACCCAAACCAAAGTGCACCCAACCCATACGGGTTGGTCGGGTTGATACTTTGATACGTTAAAATATTTTCTAACCTAGAATATATTATTCTCTACTCATAATTTATTTTTCATCATTAACCATTTGATACAACTTATCTATACTTCTTACATATATCACATATTCAGTTAATTTTCTCAATTCACGTATATATGTTCACAGTTACTAAACATATATACGAATGAGTTATATAAAGATATGAATAGATTGAAAATATGTGTATATGAGAAGCATACATGATAGTGTAATTGTCTAATGTACATATTAATAGAATTTCAACAATCCTACTAAATCCAGAAAATAAAAGGATATCGGGTTTATCAGATTGGGTTGGGTTCAAATAATAGTAACCCAATAGCAACCCAATACGTATGGTTTGACAATTTTACAATTCGATTACACATCAGGTTGAGTTATTTCGTGTTGAGTTGATGGAATTAATCGGGGTTTTGAGCACCCCTAGTTGTTGGTTTACTAAAAACCCACAAACAAGATTTATAGTACTCGTAATTAAATAACATTAAACATCACCAAATACCACAAAGTTCAATCTAATTTGCAAGCAGAGTTTCAGAACGAGGAGTTCCGCAATAAACAGACCTCTAAACCTCCATGGATTCAACTTTAAAAGGAGCAAGAGCAGAACTTCCATTCATTCCTACAGCCTTGCTTCGAAGTGTCACATATTCTTTTAGGTTAGTGTCCCTGTAGACACCAGGGTTTTCTTCAGACACCAACTCCTTAATTGGCCTGTAAATTATTGATTCAATTCCTTCATGAAATGGCCGGAAGAAGGATGCGACTGATATCCTCGGCCTTCCTTTTTGCGCCAACACTCGGTGATGGACACTTTTGAATTTATCGTTCGTGATGAGCTGCGTATGGAAAAAGATGCGAGTTAGCTTAAATAGGAGCACAAATGCGTAACTCAGATGGGTCTCATGGTAACATAAACTCGCCTGTAAAAGATCCCCGATGTTGATCACTAAAGCTCCAGGAAGCGGTGAGACATCAACCCAATCGTTTTGATGGAGAATTTGAAGGCCACCCAATAAATCTTGTACAAGTATGGTAAAGAAACCAGCATCGGTATGGGAATTCGTCCCTAACGTCAATTCTGGTTGAGGACAAGGTGGGTAGTAATGACCCAAGAGGAACAGTCCTTGACCACAACCCATACCTTCGAGATGATCTGGTTCCAGACCAAGAGCCTCGGAGAACAATTCGAGCAGAGTGAACCCCAACTTCATGATGTGGTTAGAGTACTCTGTTAAGATGTCACTGCATATTAATAGTGCTTTGTAAGTAGGTCTTGATATTACCTATCTGCATTATATAGTGTTAATATGTATGCAAAAGTGGGTAGTTATTCAAGTGTATATCGATCAAACACTCCATCTATAACGAGCTAACAAGGTAACAGATAAGTATACTGAATCAGTTTAACATCGTGGTACCTGCAAATCGGGGGGAGTTTTTCAGATTGAGGGGGTTTAGGAGCCAAAACCGACAGAAACGAATCATTCCAGCTAGCTGCATCACCTGTAAAAAGATGAAAATTGCTGACATAAAAAAACAGTTTCTGGTAATCACGAGAGTAATACTTGATCTTCTCCTTCGTCTCCATCTCATGAAACCCTCGAACTCCATCAATCATCTCATCCAATACTGTCTTCGGGATCCCATGATTGATGATCTGGAAAAACCCCCAGTTCTCAGAAGCGTGCGCAACATTTTCGACAATCTCGGCCCGAACGTTGGTTCGTTTGAGATCGATAACTGGGATATCGATCGGAGTCCGAGTTGTTGATGAGTTTGGCTCGTTGATTATGGGTGGATCATGGATGAAAAAACGAGGGATTTTCAACAATCCAGCATCGACAAGGCCCTTGACGCCGGATTTTGAATCATCAAAAGCTTTTAATTCGGTTTGACGGTCGTAATCTGATCCGATTGATGCGTTGACTTCTTGAATGTTATTTGACATGGTCGTTTGCATTCACCGACACTATGCGCTTACACTTATTGGGAAGATGCCACCAACACTTATTGGGAAGATGCCACCAACAAGGAGATAAAAAGCTTACATTTTTATTATTTTTGTTTTATGTATAATTTTATTACATTTACTAATCTTTTCTCTTAATTTTTAAATCGAAAATCAGAAATACAATAAAAATTGGAGCGAAACAAGATATGTGAGAAATGCGGTTATTTTGTCATCAAAATGGAACCAACTTTTACATGATCCATATTTTGAAGAACCAACTTTTACATGATTCCTATGCGGTTAGGGTCTCTATCAAACTTTTTGTTTATTTAAGGGTCAGGTTAACTTGTTGACCTATTAATGCTGACATCATTTAGGTCTTTTACCAACTATGATATTTCACGCCATATTAATTTTTTTATTTTAAAACTAATATTCCACGTCATATTTTAAAATTGCAAAATAATTATAGAAAATTAACTAAAATTCGTTTTTTTTAAATTAATTATAAAAAATTTAATGCAATAAAATCTATTTTTCATTTCATATCTCGTTTTTTTTTTTTTTAAAAATTCAAATATCAAATTAAAGATTCAAAAAAAATCCAAATTACCAAAATAATTTTTATTTTACTAAAGCAATAAAAAATTAATTGATGCAATAAAAAAAATATTATATATCAAATTCAAGATTTTTATATCCAACCAATCCATATCAATTTTAAAGTTTAAATCACATTTGGCAAATCAAACCAAAATAAAAGTGTTCATAACGTTTAAATCATCAAGATTAGAATAAAGTCGATGGCAAATCATTGTTACAAAAAAATGGTTGAAAATCTTCAATCTTCGACTGCTTGAATCATCCTTATCAAACTTAACCATCAACTGTAAATTATGGAACTGATCGAACTTCATCAGGAATTTGTGCATCACCTATATCAACTTGCCCTATATAAACATATACAAGTTAGTGCAATATGTAAGTTATATATAAATATGCAAACAAAGTCTGATTATACATATTGAAAATAACTTCCCCAGCAGTAACTGGTATACTCGCCTCAAAACTAACTTGTGAATTCTGCAAATAAACATACTTTTAGCTACAATATTTGATATATATATATATATATATATATATTCATTCAAACACAATGTGAATCACAATTATTATACTTACTCCTATAATCGTATCCGGTGAACTCGTACCTCTTGAACCTCTTCCTCTTATATTGCTTCTAATAACCAAATCATTCTCTTCTATGTTGTTTTTTCTCGGTCTACCAACTGGATTTTTTGGCCAAATCGATGCATCTTTCTTTTTATGTTTACAACTCCTAGAATTGTGTCTTACCTCCAAAAAAATTTCTGCAAGTCATCTTTCTCCCTGATTTGGTTACAATTTCATGACTGTATGTATTTCTTCTAGTGTGACTACTTCCTTCACTTGCATCTTTTCTTCTGGCTATTGTAGGCCTGCCAGACATGCGTCTAGACTTTGCGGGCAAAAGTTTGGCAAAATTTGTCATTGGCCAAAGTTTGATCTCATTCAAAGGGTTGATCTTGTGATTATATGTATTACTGAACTTTATTTTTTAGAATAAAGGAGACACAAACTTAGTTGGATCTTCATGAATGATATATATTGTAAAGCCCTCATTTTTTTTTGAAATGTTACGTAATCTAAAACGAATTCCTAAATAAATACTCCAAAAAGACGGAAAAAATAAAACCGTTTATAGCGGAAGTCTTTGAATCAACCAAAAATTTACTTTAGTTCTAACCTGCCTCATACCAGATTAAGTTACAAAAGATCGACACATAACTGTCTAGACAAAAGACTAAAAATAAGATGATAATAGGCAACTCTCTAAGCCTGTCCTTTGCCCTTATCAAACCTCGACCTACCTGGCATTGAGATGTATACTATAGTCAGCTTATAAAGCTCAGTGAGTTCATGATTTGCGTGAATAAAATCATATTTTGACACACACACACACACATATATATATATATATAGCATATATGCATGCTTTATAATAAAAGTCACAGCTTTTACAAAAACATATTTAAAACACTAAAAATAAGAGATCTCATATAATATTTAGTCGGATATGGGTCATTTACTCATAAACACGCTCTGAGTTGATAAGTCACTCTTAATTGATCACCCACTTATATGGGTCGTGTTTTATACTGGTCGTGACTTACTGGTCAAATGTCTGCCCTTGAATCACAAAACTTTAACATGGAATAGCATGCAAGAGTTATTCGAAAACTGATTAAACACATATATAGCATGTAACCATTCACAAAATAACATACATGTAAAATATATCATAACATGTATGTAATTGAAATATCATGCATACGTACACATCATCAACGATTCATATCATGCAAAAATAAATTTGTATTTAGGTACGCATCCCAATGAAATCTCATGAAGACTCACCTGATAACGAATGTTGATTAACTAATGTCACTGATTGGTAACCTCCAATTTATAATAACGAATAGTGCATTAATGATTAATTTCTCCCAAAGGCCAACATAAAAATCAACTTACGGTCAACTATGTCGACTAAGGTCAACCTTGTTTAACTATGCTAAGAACGCTCCTAACATCAATTGAAATTATAGGAACCGTCAGTTCCGACATAAGGTGTCTCATCTAGCTATAGATCTTAAAACGACATCATTCATGTGATTATTAAGTTATCTATTATATGATAGATAGATTAATAATTACATATTTCGAGTTAAAAGTGTCCTAATAAATTTATAACTCGAGTAACACCTCACATAGTCAATTAATCATTTTATAGCTCCATAAAATAATCTTTTATAAAATAAATGTCTAGACAATATATATATATATATATATATATATACACATATATATAGGGGTCTAATCAAATGAGAACCAATTAGTTTGTGGTAACCGAAGGTCTAATATGAGCCAATCATTTTATGATATTAATTGTATTACCTTAATTAATAGGTAAAGGTTGTTTTAGTAAATTGTTAATTATAATTTAAATATTTTTCTTATTTAATAGTTATCAAATTCGGTTTCCTTAATTATCAAGAATTTGGTTTCCTTAATTATCTCAACAAAATTGTATCACAGTATATCACATTGTGGTTGTGTGTGGCCTAAGACTCAGATCACATCTATTATCAACTCATGTTCAAAACGTTATCACAGTGGTATCACAATGTGTAACACAATTGGTTTTGTGTCTTATTGTTACAAATTCTTGGGTATTACAGCGTGTATCATATTTGTTTTATGTTTTACTGTTAGAAATTCTTGGTCGGAGAGAGAGAGAGGGGGGAGAGGGGAGAGATTTTAAAAAGACTAATTTACCCCTATATATTATCAATAAAATTAAATTGTTTGAAAATTAATGAATAATTACCAAAATTAATGAATAGTTACCAAAATTTAATATGTTTAATAATAACCATTGATTATTAATAATGTGTGGTTGAGATTAGATCGCACAGTTACCATAAATAATCGAGTTCTCCCTTGATTGGACCCCTATATATATATATATAGAGGAACGATCTAATGAAAACCACTCCAATTTGTAAAAACCGTAAAAACTACTTTCATCCATCGTTAATCTTATGAAATTTTTTCATTAAATTGTTAATCTTGTGAAATTGTTTCATATAAT